TGGCTCCTCATCAAGCTGCTCAACAGCCATGATCCCAGAGACTCAGGAGCAGATCTCTAAACCCAGTGGCTTTTGACAGAAATCCCTCCAGATTTAAGTGTTAAAATTTCAGAATTTCAAAACCACATCGCCCCACTGCAGCCACACGACATCATATGTTAGTCATAACCAGCAATAGAACACAAATTGTCTATTGTTGCCTTTTCAGCAGATCTGAGTGTAGGGGTAAAATCTCAAATAATGGTGGGTCTGGTGTCGAAATAGTGAATGTGATCAAAGTAGAGAGAGAGTAATGTGGAAGTCATCTTCCCCACAGGTAGGGGGAGGGTGTGGGATAGGGGTATACTGGGGTTTTTGGTGGTGGAGAATGGGCACTGGTGAAGGTACGGGTGTTTCATTGTATGACCGAGACTTAGACCCGAAAGTTTTGTAACTGCTCTCAGTGATTCAATAAATAAAATTATAAAAAATGAAAAAAAAAAGTAAGGTGGAGTTCATGCACAATTCAATCAGCTAATCAGTGGCTGAATAAATAGCAATACTCCTACAAAAAAAGAGAAAAAAAAAAACCAGAGTATTTCTTGATGTGGTACTCCTTTACTTAACCATCTTAAATCACCCCCATCCTAAATTTCCTGTTTGGGGAGGCATGGAGAGGCCACGCCCGGTGATGCTCAGAGGTTACTTCTGATTCTGCACTTGGGAATCACTCGTGGCAGGCTCGGGGTACCAGGTGGGATGCTGAGGATCTAACCCCGGTCAGCTGCTTGCAAGACAAGCACTTTCCCTGCTGTATCGCCCCTGTCCATCAAATTACTTTTTGTTAGATTGATTGATATTTGGTCCGATATATGTGTGGCTGTCCTAGCTCTTTCCCCCCCTAGTATTGGCTTGTCTGACTGCTTCCCATCCTTTCACTCTGAGCCTGATTTATCCTGTGAATTTAGGTTTCCTATAAACAGCAAAAGGCTAAAATATAAAGTAGCTGGTTGATCAGGAAACAAAAAATCCATCTCTCAGGATGCTTTCCGTAGTCTTTATCTCTGGTTTTTACCATCTTTATTACCCTGTGTTCTGTTTTAATCCATTTTTATTTGGTATTCTTTGGGCGTTTTGAAACTGTGCAGAAGCCTCCCTCTAGAGACTGGGCATGTTCTGAGTTACTACTTTTTTCACTAGGGCTGGGCTGGGCAAGTGATATTTATGTCCAGACAGTTCTTAGGCTGGTGCTACAGATGTCAGCGGAAATCCAGTGGAGTCCCCAGAAGAAATCTGGCAGCCTCGCTGGCCAGGGCATGAGACAGGAGGAACAAGGCCACCTAGCAGGGAGAAGTCTCCCCAATAGTCCTTTAACTGATTTTCTTTTTAAATTTTATTTCTATTCTTTTCCTTCTTTTTTTTTTAAATCTAGGAGTACTGCTGTTTATTCAGCCACTGATTAGCTGATTGAATTGTGCATGAACTCCACCTTACTTTTTTTTTTCATTTTTTATAATTTTATTTACTGAATCACCATGAGAGCAGTTACAAAGCTTTTGGGTCTAAGTCTCAGTCATACAATGAAACACCCGTACCTTCACCAGTGCCCATCCTCCACCACCAAAAACCCCAGTATACCCCATCCCACACCCTCCCCCTACCTGTGGGGCAGATGACTTCCACATTACTCTCTCTCTACTTTGATCACATTCAATATTTTGACACCAGACCCACCATTATTATTTGAGATTTTACCCCCACACTCAAATCAGAAAAGGCAACAGTAGACAATTTGTGTTCTATTGATGGTTATGAATAACATATGATGTCGCGTGGCTGCAGTAGGGCCATGTGATTTTGAATTCTGAAATTTTAACACTTAAATATGGAGGGATTTCTGCCAAAAGCCACTGGGTTTCGAGATTTGCTCCTGAGTCTCTGGGATCATGGCCGTTGAGAAGCTTGATCAGGAGCCAGAGAGGCCGTTCGTGGGTGATGACTTGGGGTCTCGTTGGGGTGGGGAGGACAGACTCGGCTCCCCCCCCCCCCACATCCCGTGAGGCCCAACAAGTTTTGTCACTGCGGGCCCAAGCCTGACTGTCCAATGACCTCTGGAGGATGACGGCCACCTAACCGCCAAGGGGGAGCAGGCGGAGTGACAACACCCTGTCCCCCCCTGGGGTGGCCTGGCGACAGTAACCTAGTCGGGGTCCAGATGCATTTCTGCCAAAAGCCTCTGGGTTTCAAGATTTGTTTCTGAGTCTCTGGGATTATGGCCATTAAGCAGCTTGATCAGGAGCCAGAGAGGCCGTTTGTGGGTGATGACTTGGGGTCTCATTGGGACGGGCAGGAAAGGACAGGCTCCGTCCCCATCCCGTGAGGCCCTGCGTTTCTCGTCACTGCAGGTCCAATCCTGACTGTCCAGTGGCCTCTGGAGGATGGCGACCACTGGGCCACCAGGGGGAATAGGCCAAGGCACAAAACCTATTCCCAACTGGGTTGGCCCAGCACCGGTAACCTACTGCAGGGACTGGACACATTTCTGCCAAAAGCCTTTGGGTTCTGAGATTCGTTTCTGAGTCTCTGGGATCATGGCCATTAAGCAGTTCGATCAGGAACCAAAGAGGCCTTGCCTCCAATTATATAGCTGAGCCGGAGGTGGTTTGTGGGTGTGTTTCCCACATACCTAACTTTTGGCCGTTTACTTTCTTGGTAAACTTTGCCCCAAGATTTTGGGGTTCGGCCAAAGGCACAGCAGCAATTTTGGGGTATCTGGCAGTCTGAAGGCACCATCAGGCTGCTGATACACTTCCCCCACAGGTGCTAGTTGGCCTGCTGGCAGCACCATACCTCCTCTATTCTTTTCATTTGGGGGCCATGCCCTGAAATGCTTATGGGTTACTCCTGAATCTGCACTCAGGGACCATATATGATGCTGGAGGTAGAACTCTAATGGACAGCATGCAAGGCAATCTCTCAGGCTGCTGTTCTACCACTCCAGCTTTCTTCTTATCTAAAGAGTAGCCACATTCTTCTTCATATACTCTTATTTTTCACCTGGGTCACCCAGATAACCCCCAGACAAGGCCCTCTGGCTCCAGTGTTGTTCCCTCCTGCTGTCTCACCTGTCATGACCCAGGTCTGACACGCCAATACTCCTGACATGGAGAGCTCCGCTACCTGAGTTCAGGTGGTCAGCTTGACCCTGAGGCTACCCACAGTGCGGCCCTGACCAGAAGGTCTACAGCTCGGCTTATCTTGGGCATCAGTTCCATCATCTATAAAAAACAAAGGTCAAGGGCCGGAGCGATAGCACAGCGGGTAAGGCATTTGCCTTGCACGCGGCCGACCCGGGTTCAATCCCCAGCATCCCATATTGTCCCCCAAGTACCACCAGGAGTAATTCGTGAGTGCAAAGCCAGGAGTAACCCCTGAGCATTGCTGGGTGTGACCCAAAAAAGAAAAAAAATCAAATAAATTGGCTTCTTTAAAAAAAAAAAAAAGGTCATCTGGGGCCAGAGCAATAGTATAGCAGATAGAACACTTGCCTTGCATGCAGCCAACCCGGTTCAATGGGCGGTACCCCATAGGGTTTCCCAGGAGTGATCTCTGAGTGCAAAGCCAGGAGTAAGCCCTGCGCACTAACAGCTGTGGCTTAAAAACAAAACAAAACAAAACAAAAGATCATCATCAATGCCCACTTCAGATGGTTACAGTAAGGCTTCTTTCTGAGAACTCTCCTGCGACCTGCCTTTGCACTGTAGCAAGGTCGTTTTCTGATTATGTAATAAACTTTCAGGCAGAGAACCCCTGGATTGGCAGTGGGACATGACTCCTCTCTTGGGCTTAGATTGAACTTTCTTTGTTTTGCTTGGGGGGTTGGTTTGTTTGGGGGTTGGGAGGCCAAACATATCAGAGGCCAGGGCTTATTCCTGACTCTGGACTCTAGGATCACTTCTGGTAGTATGAAGGGACCATATGGGGTTCTGAGGATCAAACCCAGGTGGTCCTAGCGCAACGCAAGTGCTCTGTGCACGGTACTATCTCCAGCCTCTTTTGACCATACTCTTTACTTGAAGGAAAAGATCTTCCTCTCACCTCAGCTCCAGCACCTGGTTCACTTGTGTTTGATTAAGGTTTGTCAAAAGAAGGGAGTGGCCAGGCCTGGACTTCAGGCTATTTGCCAGTAGTTGGTGGGGTGATAATTAGAGCTATCCCCATTCATCTGCCCTCAGTATAACATTTCCCACAAGATTGACCTCTTGAAATTTGCTTCCTCCCCAAAATGTTTCCTCATTTTGAGGAAGAAAGAGAGAGAAGAAAAGTGCCTGCCATAGAGGCAGACTCGGGGACCAGAGGGGCATGGGAGGGAAACTGGAGAAACTGATGCTGGGAAATGCAAACCAGTTGAGGGATGGGTGTTGGACCACTGTATGACTGAACAGTTTTGTAAAGATCTGTCTCACAGCGAATCAATTAAAAAATCTGAAAAAAAAATAGATAGTTCCTCTCCTTTTTGTTTCTGGGAAAAAGAAAGATTGTGAGAAGATCTTAGCGAATAGAAGATGATGTTTCGTGCTAGGTGAAAAGGAAGCTCAGATAGAGAAGAGAGCACCAAATAAAGGGTGTTGGGAGGACCCTCCCAGGGTGGGAGAAGCATGCTAAAAGTAGACTATAGACCAAACATGACTGCCACTCAGTGCCTCTCTTGCAAAACACAGTACCCAAAAGAAGAAAGAGAGTACAAGGGGGAATGCCCTGCCACAGAGGCAGGGTGGGACGGGGGAATGGGGGGTGGGAGGGATGCTGGGACCCGTGGGGGGGGGAGGAGGATGGGCACTGGTGGAGGGATGGGTACTTGATCATTGTATAACTGAAACCCAAGCACAAAAATTTATAAGTCTATAACTGTACCTCATGGTGTTTCACTAATAAAAAAAAAAGAAGATGGTGTTTGGGGAAGTACATCTATGAAACAAGACGTGTTTCCCATCATTCTTTTCTCCCTCACTGTCTTCCAGAGGTCATTCTCTTCTGAGCAAGTTACTCAGGAGGACCGTTCTCTCCCCAACAAGTGCTGGAACCAAGACCTGAAACTCCTCTTCGAGCAGTTCATGAAGAAATGTGAAGACGGCTCCTGGGAGCGTCTGTCTTCATATAATCATCAGCAAGATAAGAAATACAGAACCTATTTTCTTGGTAAGGGCCTACGCTATGAAAAAGAATATTTAAATGGCCAGTAGGGGACTGGAGCAATAACACAGCAGGTAAGGCGTTTGCCTTGCACGCGGCCGACCCGGGTTCGATTCCCAGCATCCCAGATGGCTCTCCCGAGCACCAGCAGGAGTAATTCCTGAGTGCAGAGCCAGGAGTAACTTCTGAGCATCACTGGGTGTTACCCAAAGAGAAAAAAAAAGAATTGTCCAGTAGGTGAGAGGGGTTTGATCAGAGCACACTCTTAAAACATGAAGGCCATAAAGAGTACAGGGTTGCTATGTTCTCATGTTTCAGAGGCCTGGAATCTCAGCACATTTTGCAGGTATGGTAGAATGTGAATCCTGTCCTCCAGCCTGGAGACATAGCACAGAGTATGGGGTTAAGGTCCTGGCTCGCATGCAGCCGGCTCCAGTTCAATCCCCCACACACAGACAGGCCTCCCCCACCCCGCCCCCTAAAAAAAAACCCACAAGAAAATCAGAGTAAACTGTCCCCATCCCAGGGAGTGGAAATAGTGCCCCAATAAGCCGCCTTGCCTTCTCCTGCCTCATTTCTTCTCTGTCTTGGGTCTGATACCATACATCTTAATTTATCACTTACCCCGCTACATGGTTCTGTCACCCTAAGAAGCTCAGGACACTAAGGTCACCCCCTCACCCCCCAGACTCTAAACTCTCGAGATGCACTGAAGATGTGACTGTGTGGTAGGGTGTTTGCTTTGTATGTGCGAGATCCTGGGTTGATATCCAGCACCTCCCAATCACCACCACCAAAATAAAAACCTCTTGAATGCCAGGGAGACCAGCCTTCATCATCCTGTTATTCGTCGATTGCCTCGAGCAGGCCCCAGTAACGTCTCTTTCATCCTAGCCCTGAGATTATATTCAAGGCTCTTTAGGAGAATGAGACCCATCATTGTTACTGGTATTTGGCATATTGGGTACGCCACGGGGAGTTTGCCAGACTCTGCCCTGTGGGCAGGCTACATTCGATAGCCTGCAAGTTTGTCCAAAGTAGGAATGAGATAATAAGATGTCATAAAAAGATGTCCTGATAAGATGTACCACGGCCGCAAATGTGGCCGCGCGGTTCCGGGAGCTGGATTTTATAGTCTCTGAGTCTTGGTCGTTGGTGGGATTACACGGCGCCAGGGGGCCAGGTGGTGGGTGTGACCCCCGCCTACTGGAATTTGGAGGATCTGGGTGGAGGATGCTCGACTCCAATCCGAGTAGGCTTGGAGATCTTGGCCCCGGAACCCGCGTGGCTTTGTCCCTCTGCCAGTACTTTCATGTGTGCGGAGAGTGGTCTCGGCATGGTGGTGGCTGGTCCTTAACTCCAATCAATGTGCTTTCTATCCTATGTGTTTGAATAAGATTTTTTTTCTTTATTTTTGGGACCACACTCAGCAATGTTCAGACTCTGCACTCAGGAATCACCCCCTGGCAGTGCTTGGGAGATCATATGGGGTGGGATCCAACGGGGTCAGCCCCATGTGAGACAAGCACCTTACCCACTGTACTGTGGCTCCATCCCCTCTATTTTTTTTTCAAGCGGGAAGTCTGGTTCACAAAAAATAAGTAGAAAGTTTGGAGTTGCCATATATTCCTTTAGCTTTCCTATTTTTAGCATCTTACAGCAGAGATTACATTTATTACGATGAGTCAGTGTTAAAATATTATTAATAGCTGTAGTCCATTGTTTACACTAGGGCTCATTATTTGTATTATACTTTCTCTGGATTCTGACAAATGTATCATGGCATGTGCCTATCACCAGGGTATCAGGAGATGGTTTCACTGTCCTAAAATCGCCTTTGCACGACCCTCATTCCTCCTTTCTTGCCCCTGAACCCTCAGAACCATCAATCTTATTGTCTCTGTACTTTTGCCTTTTTCAGAACATTTGTATTATTAGGACACACACACACACACACACACACACACACACGCACACACACGCACACACCCTAGGTTCTACTGACATACATATGAAGAATTCATATGACTATAATTTTTTTCTTGGGGGGATGGAGGGGCACTCCTGGCTCTGCACTCAGACTCTGCACTCAGGAATCACCCCCTGGCAGAGCTTGGGAGAGCATATGGGGTGGGATCCGATTGGAATGCACCTGGCAGTGCTCAAGGGGTCATAGGAGATGACAGGGATCGAACCCAGGTCAGCTATATACAAGGCAAGCTCCCTCCTTGCTGTACTGTCTCTCTGGACCCACATGGTTGTAAATTCTAAAGTGAAATGGAATAGACAATGTAAAATGTTTTAAAAAGATCTGGGCTGTCATGCTAGTGACATAACTCAAAGAGCTAGAACGCATGCCTGAATTACATAAGGCCCACATGTGCTTCTCAGCACTGATAGAGTGGCCTTGATTTCCCCAGTATGTATCGCCAGACATCACACACACACAGCCAGGCCGAGTATCGCCTGGGCCCCTGAGCACTGCTTAAGAGTACCCCCAAAAAAATATTACCCGGAGAGTAGAGTCTAGGAGAAACCTTTACTAAGGCAAGGACGGGTTTACTTCATCTTTTACTCAAAAAGGAAAGATAAGCTTCTCAGTTAAGGAGGGCATGTTCACCAGTAAACCTATGCCCGTCTGGATGGTAATACCCCTCCAACTACATTCTTCTTCAGCACAAAAAATGGAATCAGATCACAGCGGGTAGGGTGTTTGCCTTGCATGCAGCCAACATGGCCGACACAGGTTCGATTCCCAGCATCCCATATGGTCCCCCGAGCACTGCCAGGAGTGATTCCTGAGTGCATGAGCCAGGAGTAACCACTGAGCATCGCCGGGTGTGACCCAAAAAAGCAAAAAAAAAAAAAAAAAAAAAAAACCCGAAATCAGAGCTAGAGATAATAGTATAGCAGATAGGCATTTGCCTTACATGTGCCTGCCCAGGGTTCCATCACTGGCACCATGTACCCTGAGCCTGAATACAGAGTCAGGGGTAATCCCTGCGCACCCCTAGGTGTGGCCCGAAAAAAAACACCCAAAATATGAGAACAATTGCCTCTATGATTAGGTAAAGGGCAAAGGACTGAGACAAGGTTATATGTTGTATCTCAGCCTTGAGTACTTTCATTGCTCTGAACTTAAAATAATCCATATTCTTTAAGTAATAATAACAGGCTTCCTGATGCCATGGGGCCTTGGTTGACCTTGAGATCCTGTACCAAGGTGATATTTCACCAGAAGAGGCCCAGTCTGGGTTGACTCACTCTTTTGAGAAGACAGATCCCTCATAGCCTTTTCATACTGATTTCTTTCACTTAACAATATATATTTTGTAAGGCACATATTTTTCCTTCACAACATTATCACTGTGTAAAGTTTCTATCTAGTTGTCTAGCATTAGTTTGCAAGACATATTTTTTTAAAATAGCGATTCTAAAACTGACATCAGTGAAGCCATTTTAATGGAGCAGAGAAGGGACCAGAGACATAGTCTAGAAGCTAAGGCCCTTCCCTTTTACTTGGCTGACCCTGGTTCAACTCTGCCACCACATGGTTCTCCAAGCACTCTGCATGTGGTCCAAACCTTTCCCTGCCAAATTAGTTTTTAAAAAAAATGAAGCGGTGGACTTGTTACAGAGAAATTTCATTGCCTGTTTCATTTGAATTGAACCAAATTACTTTGCACTGGGTAATAACATGTATATTAAGAATTATGGGGGATATGGTGAGCCCCTTGGGGTATGGCAAAAAAATACAAAAACCCTAATAAATAGGATTTACTAGATTCTGGGGGAATCAGGGGGAGATATAAATCATTTCAGTTATTTACAAAGGTATTCTTTACCAAATTGCAAGGTACAGATTAAGAGTGAAAGAAATCTTAAATTCTGGAAAAAAAACAAACATTAAATGGTCAGCAGTATAGAATGATTGCACTCATTTGTGGGATATTAGCATAAGACTTGGAGATCTATGCCCCGTGTCCCACATACCTGGGTTCTTCTGCCAGTTCCTTCATGCGTGAGGCTCATCCGAATGTATGGAGAGTGGTTTTAAGCATGGCTGTGGCTGGAACCGGAGGTCTTCAGCTGCCAGGGCTCTGCTCGGGGTGGGGTGGGAAACTCAACCCACCCTCCTCCAAGGGGCCCCAGTGAGGACAGCCAGGCAGGGAGGCAGGGACTCTGCGCTATTCTCTTCCGGGAGCTGGGTTTTATAGTCTCTGGTCTTGGCCGTTGATGGGATTACACGGTGCTTGGGGGGAAGGAGGGGGAGGTAGTTGGTGGGTGTAACACCTACGTACTTGAAGTTGGGGGATCTGGATGGAGGAGGTCCAGTCCCAATCCGAGCAGGCTTGGAGATCTACGCCCCGGGTCCCGCACACGTGGGTTCCTCTGCCGGTTCCTTTATGTGTGAGGCTCATCCGAACGTGTGGAGGGTGGTCTTAAGCATGGCTGTGGCTGGAACTGGAGGTCTTCAGCATGAAGGAACTGGCAGAGGAACCCAGGTGTGCAGGACACGGGGCATAGATCTCCAAGCCTGCTTAGACTGGGACTGGGCCTCCTCCACCCAGATACCCCCCATCTTCCAATATGTAGGCATTACACCCACCAACTGCTCCCCCCACACCCCCGTGCCATGTAATCCCATCAACGCCAAGACTCAGAGACTATGAAACCCAGCTCTCAGAAGCATGCGGCCTCATTCGCGGCTGCGCGACATCTTATTATCTAGTTCTTACTCTGGAGAACCTGACAGGCTACCAAAAGTATCCTGCCCACACGGCAGAGTCTGGCAAACTCCCCATGGCGTATTCAATATGCCAAAAACCAGTAACAATGATGGGTCTCATTCTCCTGACCCTGAAAGAGCCTCGAATGTGTCACTTTCTAAAATCTCAGGGCTAGGATAAAGGAGACGTTATTGGTGCCTGCTCAAGGAAATCGATGAGCAACAGGATGACAGTGATACAGACAGCATAAGACTAAGACCCAAGGACAGTAGAAAG